GAAGAATACAGCTCTAAATCTAGGCTGAAAACGGAGTTCAGGTGTTGTTCACTGTATAGCAATTTTGAAAGGTATTGTGGTAATTATTTGCACTGTTAAGGTTTCCACCTAGGCATTGCTTCAGAATTATAGTTGCAATCCTCAACTGACGCTTTTCTAGAAAGGATCTCTTGAGATTAAGATGGATCTCCAAACTCATTCTAACATTCTAACTTTACAGATGATGTGGAGAGCACTGCTGATACTGTTAGGTGAATTACTTTGTACTACATCACAAAAGATCATAATAATGTGTTCATATTTCAAAGTTTAATTCTAAACATGTTTATATTAAAATTTATTACTTAGATGGAAAATTCCTTTGTAAAATTATAGCATTATTTAAATATCGTGTACTTCTTCAGCATGGACGAGTATTTACGAACTATCCAGGCAGTAAGTAGAAATTTCAACGACTCTCAAACTTATCTTAACATTAGTAAACCACTGCTAGTTCCTAAATTTCCTCTAATCCAGTGTTTCTCAAAGTGGTCCATAGACTCACTCTGAGAAAGCCATTACTGGGCTGCTCCGGTTTGTTCACTTACAGCCAATGGGAGTTACAAGGTTCTGTGGATGTGGAGCTGGTAAGTAAACAACTGCAGCAGCCCAGTCACAGTGGGTCCATGGACCACATTGAGAAACACTGCTTTAGAGAATTGGAAAAAAAAAAGGATGAGCTTTTCCCTCAGACCTTTCTTGCCTTAGAAAAGTTGGGCACTGTTTTTTATGGGAAAGTCCCATACTTTTTGCTCTTTAAGAGTAAATGAAAAAAAGTATATTTTTGATGGATTTGGCATTTATTACTTATTAGATGTTAGAAAAGGCATAATTATATAGGCAAATTAAAATATATGGCACATATGGCTAGAAAGCTGAAGAATATCCAAGGATCTATATAGAGGAAAAAAATCAATACTCGAATTAAATGGAACTTTTTTAAAATAGTGTATTATTGTTTCAATCCCTATGAAAAGCTCTATGAAGGTACAAAAATAAATTAAAAGAAAACTCATAAGCTGCCACAAACATCTGTCACCACACAATAGCCCAGTAACTATACCTTCATAGTAGTTTAGCACATCTTCACTCCAAAACACCATCTGTTCTAATCTATGAAACTGAAATGGTAGTATCTGGGCTTTCAAGGGGAAAAATCAGCAAACTTGGTTTCAGTGTAATAGTACTACTAATAAGAAATGCATAGGTAGAGTATTTCATAGGTTGTAATTCTTTGGTGGCCAAACAGAATACAATTGCCTAAAAGAAGATCTTCAAAGAAGTCTGTACAGTTGTCTTGTTTGCTGGTCAATAATTTCTCAGCCATTTGCTAATGTGACTATTTCACAAAGTATAAACTACTTGTGAATAGTCTAACAAACAAAATTTCAGCATTACAGGAAACAATCAAACCATGACCCAAGCATGCAAAAATAGCACTTAACACACACTTTACTACCATTTAATCTTCATGATGTTCATTTACCAGAAATTCTCAAAGCTGAGAGCAAAATCTGAAAATAGAAAAGGGAATTGATCTATTGACAATACTTTTCTTGTTCTTTGAGGTCTGCTTTTATGACTTAAGTCACATTATTCTTAAAAGTGAAATTATAATATCTACTCCTTTAAAGTGTTTGAAAGCAGAGACAGAAATGTCCTACGGTCACATTTCAGGCCAAATGCTCCTCTAAATTCCTTTCTTGGGGCTAGCCAGGGTGCCCCATCTCAGACTTCCAACTTCCAGGGATTGCTTTCCTGGGTTGAGACCAGAATCTATGTAAATATATGTCTCCCTTCTGACCTGGATATTTTCAGGCTACAGAGTTCCTTGCCTTAAAAACAATAAAATAACCTGCACACATACTAACACGTTTATAATAGTTTACATAGATTCTGGTAGAAGCAGTCTTTCTAAACTTGCCCAAAACATTGGGCCTTCAATGGTACCAGGAGCCTTGCTGGTTTGCTGCTTCAGGAAAAAAGCAGTATGCCAGTTTAAAAACAGAGTATTTATCCAAACTCCCTTTCTTTACCTATTGGTAGAAAAGAATTCAGTTTGAATAGTTTAATGACCAGGAGTGTCAAAGGGCTGATGAGAACGGAGGAAGTGTGTTAGTGTTCCCTCCTAGTAGAAGAAGGTACATACAATGCCATAACAACATCCTCAACCTCTTTTTAGTGCAGTGAAGCTATGTTCTTCAGGGATCTGATGAAGGCATCAGAAGCTAGTGTACGAAGATTTTTTTTTTTACTGACATCATATAAGAACATAAGAATAGCCAGATTGGGTAAGACCAAAGGTCCATCTAGCCCAGTATCCTGTCTGCTGACAATAGCCAACACCCGATACCCCCGAGGGAGGGATCACAATAGGTAATCCTCACGTGATTCCTCCCCCGTCACCCACCTCCAGAGAAACAGAGGCTAGAGATACCTTTCCTACCTATCCTGGCTAATAGCCATTAATGGACCTATCCTCCATGAATCTATCTAGCTCTTTTTTTAACCCTGTTAAAGTTCTAGACTTCACCGCTTCCTCTGGCAAGGAGTTTCAGATGCTGACTGTGTGCTGAGTGAAGAAAAATATCCTTTTGTTTGTTTAAACCTGCCTATTAATTTTATTTGGTGACTCCTAGTTCTTTTATTGTGGGAGTAAGTAAATAACTTTTCCTTATTCACTTTTTACACGTCATGATTTAATAGACGTCTATCATATCCTCCCTTAGTCTCCTGTTTTCTAAGCTGAAAAGTCCAAGTCTTTTTAATCTCTCTTTATATGGGACCCGTTCCAAATCCCTAATAATTTTTGTTGCCCTTTTCTGAACCTTTTCCAATGCCAATATTTTTTTTTTTGAGATGAGGTGATCACACCAGTACGCAGTATTCACAATGTGGGTGTGTCAGCCGATGGTCAGGGCAGTGCATGTGTGTGTTATACACCCGAGTCTTCAATTGATAGGACACAAGGTCCTGATGCAGCGGGCGGCCTTAGGGAAGACTGACGGGCACCCCGAGAAGTTTAACGTCCATGTCTTTGACCTGTAGAACCGGGTCCCTCCGCGGCGGGCAGCCAACAGGCTGACAGACACCCCAGAGTTTACAGGTTTATTACACCTCAGATTTTGACTGCTAGGCTACATGATCCCTTCGCAGAGGACAGCCTACGGAAGGCTGAGAGATGCCCCTACGGATCTATCCCCTGGAAGTGACACAATCCAAATGCCCAGCTCTGCCTGTATCTGTCCCTTATGACCGGCTGGAGTTCTTTTAAATTGTGCTTGGTTCTGTTACAACAACTGAAGGAGTCAGGTTAAAACTTAACTAGTTACAGGTTTATTAAAAAGGCTTATAAAGCTTGTGGTTACAATAGCTATTGCTCTACTTCTTAACTGCTGTCAAATACAGATCTTAAAATGGTTACAAAGGAAAAGGACGATAGGAAATAATGGTACCAAGTGACAGCTTAATCTTTAAAGAGCTCTAATACTATGTATATACTTAAACAAAGGACACATACAGGTACAATTTTTACCCCATCCTGTGTCTCTCGACTCCAGCATGTCAGGCCAGGGTCAGTCCCTTAATTCCTCGGAAAGACAAATACAAGGTGGGCGTTCCCGTGGAACCTCAGGAGGTCAGTCACCTATCCTGGCCAGCAGGTAGATGACAAATTGACTGTCAAAGTAAGTGTGCTGCTGGACCCATCTTTATACCCATAGGGGCCTGTATCCTCTTTCTTATCTAAGAAGCCAAATGGTACTGGTCCGTCTTTGTGACGCCAGTTCTTACAAGGGAGTTTCAAATAATTCACACTTGTAAGAGAGATATAACTAAATTAGGAGTACTGGACATTCTTTGCTGGGTGGGAGATTCCTCCCGTCCCCCCTCCCCCCCCCCGTATCAATATGGGTTTCAGTCAAGGGAACTCCTTAGCAGCCTCTTGGTCAGAGATTAGTTCGACCATCCTCTTATCTCTGCTTACAGTTGTCCAGGGTCACTTGTGAGCTAGCATATCCGGGCCTCCTGTCAAGGCTTCAAAGACTATTCTGATTTTACTGCTCTGTGTGCCCTGTATGCTTCCAGGAAAGCAAAGTTGGATGTTACAGTGGGGTTCATGTCTGGCTACAGAGTGTAGCATGGTTTTATATACAGGCAATAAGATATTTTTCTGTCTTATTCTCTATCCCTTTTTTAATGACTCCTAACATTCTATTTTCTTTTTTGCCTGCCACTGAGTGGATGTTTCAGAGAACTATCCACAATGAGTCCAAGATCTCTCTCTTGAGTAGTTGTAGCCAAATTAGTCCCCATCATATTGTAGATATAGTTGGGATTATTTTTTCCAATGTGCATTGCTTTACTAACACCAGATATTATACAGACAAAGAATCATTGGCATCTTCATTGTTTGGTAGGTCGATAATGTCCCAGACATCTGGTATATTTATTTAATCCATTAGCATGAGTATCAAACTTGTGAATGAATTGTATTTCCAGTCCTTTCCTGTGTAACAAAACAGCCACTTGTAGATCTGTTAATGAATTCCCAGGTAGATTGAAGTGTTCCTCAACAGGTTTTGTCTGTTCCCTTTATGGATATCCCTTTCCCATATGGAAAGTTAGTTGCCTTCCTGGAGCAAGTAAAAATTGAATCGAAATTGTCTTCATCCCAATGAAACCCAAAATACATTATTATTTTAAAAGACGACAGATTCCCAAATTGCAGTTGAAAACATCCATTATAAAATTTATTATTTGCTTCATTCCTCTATTTACATCTCTACTGATGGAGGGCCAGCCACTTTCATTAACTTGCTAATGAGAAAGAAAGATGCTCTTACTTGTGAAACATCAGCACTTTCTAAAATGTGATTTACTATTACTGTGGAGCAATAAACACATTAGGATTCAGCCAAATTTTAAATTGAAATCAAGCGCAAGTAAGATGATTTTCTAGCCAGCTGCCGTGATGGATGTTTAGGGAGGAACAAGGTTGTAAGTCATAACAAAACAGGAAGCTGAAAAATAGGAAAGAAATTAGAATATACAGTAATTAAATGAATAGAAAATGTTTGTTTAGATTATAGTTATTAGAAGTTGACAAACTATTTGGAAATCTATTTCCTTAACTAGACAAAGCCAAACAGTACTGGGTGAAATCAACATTCCTAAAGTCTTTATCAGTACGATCCAATATTGAAGTAGCTTTTCTTAGTGCTAATAGTCATAACAAACTAAACTTGTGAGCAGCTGCTACAGAAAATCGTTTATTGATGTAATGTTGGAAAAGAACATGAGTCTTGCAATCTGTGCAGCAACAAAATGCAATAAGCACAGTACATTTGATTTTTAGATGAAATATTCATTTTAAAAGGCTTAGAATTGTAGTAAAGTGTTTATTTGGTATTTCTTTCATTGCTATAACTTTGTAGCAGCAACTTTTGAACAGTGGGTAAGTTTCCAAAATGGAATAAATGAAAGAGTCAGAGACACATTTCATAATTCATAATGGATGGGGAAACAGGTGCATCAGAAAGTTTTATAATTTGGACAGATTGGAAAACTGAGATATTTGAATGTGACCAGATTACAAAGCCTAGCAGCAAATGTAATTTGGCTAAAAAGAAATAAAGTAAACTACAATAGATTTGATAACTATTAATTTTCTGACTTTAAATGTTAGGCTAAATCAAGTTATATACATCTTTGGGAAAAAATGCAGAACAGCTTCTACTGCATATTATTTTTTGCCACGTGTCTCAGTGAGATTACAAAAATACTAAAGTTAGATAACTTCATAAGTGAGCAACATAAGTAGTTACATTCTGCTCCAAGTTATATTAGGTGAATACCATTACTCTAGATTTATGCTAGCATGTGTAAGAAAAAAATCACGTTTATTTTAGCTAAATCTTAGATCATGGCAACCAAGCTATAGTGGATAGATATGTGTTGCAACCTGGTAGCTGAGAAAAAGCTCTCCCCCTAAATTCACATTTTCCCTTTTCTTGATCATCCCTCTTTCCCCTCTACTTGCCACATTAAGAAGTCTTACATGCATCATATGTTCTAAGCCTCTGGATGCCCTCAACTCCCAGTGGCTGCACTGGACAATTTACAATATTTCAGTACCTCATGAGATTGAGCTGCATACTTCTAAATTCAGTGGAGCAGGAACCTTGGGAACTCATCTTCAGTTTTGGCAGTGTAACTCTGAGAAATGGAAATGGGGGTATGAAGTCAGCTTTATGCCAATACTTCCTTTGAGCTGCTGAACAGGGGACAGCAAACAAAGGAGTTTGATAGGGCAAGAAGGAGATCCCCATGCTGAATGAACAAGGTGCGAGTACTAACCTTGGAGTGAGTGAGTGTGCTTGACTGTATATTTGCATTGTTCTTTCTTTTTCGGGTTATTTCAGTAACTGTGTCAGTAGAAAACAACAAATGATCTGATAGCACTTTATAGACTAACAAAACATGTAGATGGTATCATGAGCTTTTGTGGGCCTAGCCCACTTCTTCAGATGACCAGAGTTTTGAGTTTAGGATGTGCAGACCCAAAATAAATAGGAGAGAAGGGGGGGTAGGAGACAGAGAGCAGAGAGTATAGAAAATCAGGAAGGTAGAGGGAATCCGTAAGTATCTGAAGATTGAGTAGTTCAAACAAAGCTACTTAGGAAAATTAGATGTTTTCAAGTCATTAGAGCCCGATGAAATGCTTCTTAGAATACTCAAGGAATTGACTAAAGAGGTATCTGAATCATTAACTATTATCTTTGAAAAGTCAGGAAAGATTCCAGAAATGTGGAAAAGTGCCCATATCTAAAATGGGAAATAAAGGCATTCCAGGGAATTACAAAAAAGTCAGCTTACATTCGGTACCAGGAAAGACAAATAAATAAGAAATCAATTTGCACATATCCAGAAGATGATGTGGTAAGCAACAGTTAGCACACATTTGTCAATAAGAAATCTTGCCAAACTGACCTGATAGCCTTTTTTATCAAGGTAACAAGCCTTGTGGATAGGGGGAAATGGTAGATAATGGTGTATCTAGACTTTAGTAAAGCTTTTGATATACTATTTCATGACCTTCTCATTAACAAATTAGGGATACACAATCTAGATAGAGGTACAGGTCTCACCTCTTAGTCCAGCACTCTCTGATCTGTCAATATATGTGGTCTAGCATGATTTTAATAAGCTGGATGTCCACTTTACATGGATGTGGACAAGTTTCCCACACTCCCAGGAAGTTCATTTATAGGCACCAGTCCTGATTTTAACGTTCTGTGCTGTTATTTACCTTTAAATTACCCTTAAATGTCTTCTAAGATCCTATGAGCAGAGGAAGTGTTAGTAATGCTACTAGACAATATTGACCTCCCATGGTTTGGCACCTGTGATGTCCCAAGTGTACTGGATTAGAGGTTCAGTTTTTATTAACTAGTTCCCAGAGAGTGGATAACAGTAGTTTGCAGTCATGCAGGATGGGCTTAATAATTTGGGCTCTGTGAGGAGCAGTTATGGGACCAGTTCTGTTCAATATTTTCATAAATTATTTAGATAATGGCATAGAGGCCAAGTTTGTGGATGAAACCAAGCTGGAATATTTTGTCCAGTTCTGGATGCCACATTTCAGGAAAGATATGGTCAAATTGGAGAAAGTCCAGAGAAGAGCAACAAACATGATTGAAGGTCTAGAAAACAAGACTTTGGAAAGAACATTGGGGAAAAAAATAATTTGTTTAGTTTAGAAAATGAATTTGTATAAGTTTAGAAAAGGGAAGTCCGAGAGGGGACAGTTTCAGGTATCGCAAAGATTGGTACAAGGAGGAAGGAGAAAAAAATATGTTCCTTAACCTCTCATGATAGGATAAGAAACAATGGATTCAAATTGCAGCAAGGGAGCATTAGGCTGGATGTCAGGAAAAACTTCCTAACTCTCAGGGTGGTTAAGTCCTGGAATAAATTGCCTAGAGAAGTTGTGGAATCTTCATCATTGGAGATTGTTAAGAGAAGGTTAGACAACACCTGCCAAGGATGGTCTAGGAGATTCTTGGTCATGCCATGAGTGCAGGGGACTGGTCTCAATGACCTCTAGTGGTTCCTTCCATTTCTATAATTCATTGTCATAATCCTGTGACACTGTTGTGCCAGACCAATTATTATTACACATTAGAGTGACTCAAAGGCTTATTTAATATATTCCAGCTGCCAAATGGCAATGGGGTATTAGAGCTGCTGGAAATTGCCAAATTAAACCCAGAACTTTTCTTCCTGACCACATCTTGTTCATCTTACTTTAATCCTTAAGTTTCTAGAGCCCTTTATAGTATTTTTGAAAGGGTCTATACAAGGTGCTCCTTTATACTGGAGCAATACTCATTGCCTAGGTCAACTTTAGGGTAATTTTGTGTTTGTGAAAATGTACAAATTGTCCCTAAAACAGAGAGGGGCAGATGCCTTATGAGGTGATGGAAGCCTAAGCATTCTAGTATTTCACTGGTTTAAGGAGCAGAAGGCATTAAGCACATCATAAGAGATGTCCAGAACCTGGCTGTATTAGTCTTATGTCTACAAAATTCTAGTGATAAATGAATAAAGTGATGAAGGAGGTTATTAAATGCACACGTGGATTCTTGATAATGGAAAATTTTACTACTTCAGTTACCATGAAGAGTAAATGAAAATTTTGCTATTAGTACTTGTTTAAATGGACTGTTCTGTACAAACTTAAAAAAACAACAAATAGTCTTGCAGAACCTTCTAGAATAACAAAAAATACAGAGCAGGGGGAAAGAACTGCACACTTTCTAACTTCAGTAGGTCAACCTGATCACACACCCATTGGGGCTCCTTGCATTCCTCCATTAATGCTCTCCCCTATATCTTCATGCAATACAGTTGACATTATGGGTATACTTGAAAGTATTTCACAATATCTGAGCTGCTTAACTGATATTCAAATGTCAATCAATTACACCCACCCTTTTACCTACACAGTAAGTGGCTTTGCCACTGTCCACTAATATATGGCTCACAGACTACTATGCATTATTGGACACTCATTGCACCAAATGGATTTGTATGCTGTCAGATGCTCATTCAGTATGCTCAGGAGAAATTCCCTCTCATACCAGTTGGAGTTTTTCTAGGATGCCTCTGGTATCCTGGAAAAACCCCATAGTGTAGACATAGCCTTTGTGTAGTGATTAAGTGTTTTTTTTGCTCTTTGTTTTATTTAAGTGAGTGATGGACCTGAGGTGAGCCATAGGTTTGAAGCTTCACAAACAGTGGTTTCTAGATTCTAATTCCTCTATTCCATTGACAGTTATGAACTGCAGGATCTGACCTTAACATCAGGAATAAATAAATAAATACAACCCCAACAACCAAAACAAACAAGAACAAAATCACCAGACTAACACGGCTACATCTCTATCACTATAAGAACAAAATCAAGCATTCATTTTCAAATGGTAAGCCAATTAATCAGTGTCATGTCAAAATGAGAAAAGAGAAAATGAATACCTAACTCAAGACCTAACTTACTAATCTGTATTTGACACCAGTTCACTATTTGGTCAGTGGAGGCTTAATGATCACCATATTGTTTGGTTTTGACTGGAGTTAGTTTCAAACTGTTACCCACAAATCTGGATTTGCCACCTTTTCTGAACAAAACTGATTGAAAATAGACTTTGAATGTTATGGATTTGGAATGTTATTTGTTCAAACTATTTAAAGAAATAAATTTCAGAATGAGTTCTTGATTAACTGCTTACTTTGAGCATTATTGTTCATTGTCATTAGTTGTGGTCTGAGAATGGTCATCTGAAATAGATTGCTTTTGCTTCTTGGTTGAAACTTGTTTAATATGAGGAAAATTTTACTATATACTTTAGAAATGTGTGTCTGCCTGTATGTCCATCCCTCTGTGAATTCATTTGTTCAAGAATTCCTCCTGAGTGGTAAGAGCTAGGATCAGCAAATTTGGAATGCAGCTTCCTCTCACCACATCCTAAAGCTAGGTCAGAGTTTGGTTGTGCCAGGACAATGGGATGTGCTTGGAATTTGATTGTTTCTTATGAAATGGAAAGGGAGGTGTTTGGCAGAAGGGACAGTTACACTATAGAATGATCACAGGGAAGCAGCAAGGGGCCAAAGATGGGGATTCCTATAACCCTGCAGGGGGCAGAGGTAGAGAGAGGGACAGCTATTTACTCTATATTTCACAGAGCTTGTCTGTTTCTTTGTCTGTCTGTTTGTCTGAGTCCTGGACAGGGACATGCACCATTCTCACAGCTGTGCTCACTGCAGATGCAGCAGCCATAGACAGGTGCTTCTCACCTGGCCCCAAGGTGCTATGGTGAGAGAGGACTGGGGCTGCCCTCTCGCCACAGGGAAGCCTGCATACTGAACCCTTCATTCCCAACTCTGCCCCAGAACAATGATTTAAATAAATAAAAACAAAACTTATTCGAGTTAAGGACCCAAGCAATGCTGGTTAAGTCTTCTAGTGACTAATAATGGTCAAATAGTATACAAAATCAACAGCAATCATTTGCACATTAATACTTTTTTGCATGCAATTATTGATATCTGTGTGTTTCAGCTGTGCCACTGACATCCATGCAAATATGTTTGTATTTTGAATAAAGGGGCATGAATATAATTAAATGCATCAGCTATGGTACTTAAACAAATACTTGCAAACACTTTCTTCATCATTTCACCAACCTGAGATTTAATGCATTAGGGTTGAAACTAGGGATGTAAAATCTCATTTAATTGGCTAACAAGTTAAACATATTGCTTACCCGGTTAACCAATTAAAGGGAGCATGGTGGCTGCTCCAGGCCAGGTGTAGCAACTCCCCTGCCTGCCACTGGGCTGAAACAACCCACCCCTGCAGGTAGGGGCTGCTCCAGTCTGGTCAGAGCAGCCCCTACCTGCATACCTCACCACTGGTTCCAGCCGGAGCATCCCCTGCCTGCAGGACACTTGGGCCCGCCGCAGGCAGGAGCTATGCAGGAGTAGCCTCTGTCTGCAGCATGCCCCCTGTGGGGATGGAGTAGCCCCCTGTCTTCAGCAGGTGGGGAGCTGCTTCAGCCCCACCAGTTAACCACAGTTAAACCTTCACATCCCAAGTTCAATCTCTAGTGTATGCCTTCAAACACTATTTGAGTTCTGTAGCATAAAGAAAAAGCCATTCCCTGCCTCAGAAATACACAATTCCTGGAAAACACCCCTATAGAACTATGCTTCTCTATACAAACTGATCCTTAAAGAGTATGAGGCAGTATGTCTGCATAATATTTACATAGTTAAGCCTGTGTGATGTCTCCTTGTTTTCTACCTGATTTTTTCCTATATTTCCTTCTTTCAGAAATTATCACTGTCCTAGGATTATTATGTTTTTATAACTCATTTGTTC